ATCGATGTTAGTGTACACGAACGGCGGATGGCGAAAGACATTGTCCTTGAACTTCTGGAATGTCTGGACGACATTGCGGTGGCTGAAGGACATGCGGATGAATTCCAAGAGGTCAAAGGGTGTAGTGACGACTGTTTTGAAAATATCTTTTGGGACGACGGGTATCTGTTGGAAAGTGTGCACCGCATCAATCATCGGGAAAAGCGTTTTGCCACAATGGGCTCCCCTAAAATACTGAAGACAAGGCATTAGGAACCGATAGTGAATTGAGTGCTCGGTAGTCACCACAGAGTCTCCAATGACCCGGTGCTACTCTGCACACCACGTGCAGGGGTAACGCAACGGAACGAGTGAGTTTCGTATGAACGATCGGTGAGCGCCCCTACCATTGTATATTCCCGATCGAAAACCGACAGGGCAACGGACTCGTGGCCCAGTGGTTAGAGGCGTGGACTTCCAACTAAGAGGTTGCCAGTTCGAGCCTCGGGTGTTCCACACTTCGGGGTTGGGTATGACTGGCTGACGACGACTAATAAGCCAGAAATGTCCATTCCAATCTCCCTTGTCTTTGTCAGTAATAACATACTGCCTAATCAGTCTGTCATAATTATTCGTTTACGCGTTTTCTTTGTCTCTTCCGCCCTATAAAACATATTCCCGCAGCATCTAACGTCAGCAGTTTCAGTCAGCCTTCAATGGGCAATTAGTGGTGCGCTTTGTTTAGGCTGCATGCGCAATTGGCTAAAATACATTAACTTCCGCATAGTGGCTGAGGGGAGTCAGCACTGGAATTTAGCTGACTTGATTTGCTTACTTGGTACCTGCCGCGGCTAGATCGCAGTTGGTAGCCAGGAGTGGGGAAGCGGACGACGACCTCAATCCTAATCCCAACCGCAAGCTTAAGCGTTAAACGTTAATCCAAACGGCGACCCTAACTCTAACCGAAATCGTAAACGTAACCGTAGCCCTTAGACATAGCCGTAACTGGAAAACCTTACCGTAATACTGAAACCTATTTGTGCGCCCAAACCCTAACCGTAACTCGAAAACCTAAGCCTAAAGGCATAACCCCAACCCGTAAATCGAAAACCATTAACCGGTACTCCAATCCCAACCTCAAACGTAAAACGGACGCCAAATGGGTCAGATGTGATTATGGAGCCCCACAAAATAGCCTCAGTAAACACCCCCCCCCGCCACCTGTAATACAAGCTCGGGCTACCAACTGCGATCTAGCCACCTTGGCTCTTGGATGCAAAACAATCAGCCAGTAAAATCAATACAACCATTACAATCCCCGTTCCCGCCTGTCATATTGGCTCTGTCCCACCACGGCCAGCTGAAATCTACGTCAGTGTGGTCAACTTGCCGGAGGGAAGAACAGCTTTTGTAGTTTGTGAGCCAGCTTTGACCAACTTCAATAACGCGGAAGGAAGGTGCCGGACACATTTTCTAGAACGGACATCCAAAGAAGGCTGGAGTGACTTATGTGGACGTGTAAGCTGGGTGGTTCCACTTCGTATAGTTATCTACTTACCCTATTTCAGTAGCTTGGATACGGTTTGGCTACCAACTGCGATCTAGCCCCTGCTGCCGCTTGTGTGGCTACCTAGCTTTTTTCCTCCACTAGCGTTTAAGCAGGACAGAATCAATGCCTCGAAAGCAATCCATTTAGGCAGGTGACGAAGATGGAGCAATCAGGGGCGCGTGGAGTTCCCAGTCGAGATGAAAATGCGAAGGCGGAAAGTCCGCGCTCATTATCTAGACGTACGAAAAGCCCGCGAACTCTCATTCTCGAACTGGCACCAGCCCTCACAGTACGCAAGAATGCCATCGACTGGGCCTTTGTATCTCTAAAAAAAGCCAGCGACACAGTGGGGTGAAGGATGATCGCCACGGCAGTGAGAGCTTTTCTCTGCTCTGGCGTTATGGTACAGTTGCGGTCGGCGTCCGATCGCTGGATGGAGTCGGACACGGGTGGGCGCCCAGCATCGCAAAGCAGTTATCGCCAGAGTTTGCAGAGGGGCTAAATTATACCCCCTGCCACCGCGTCCCGACTGGGTTGCCGTCAGCACTTCCGGCGGGTACGTGCCCCGCTCAGGCGCGGCCTGGCACTCGTCGACCGTCTAATACCACACCCGTGTGTCTGACCTTGACTCTCCCCCCTCTAGGGTCGTGTAATTATTCTGCAGATTCCCTCAAAGGCTACAGCATATACAGTACGTGGGATAACTCATGAAATGTCAACCGAAATTGCGTAATGCGTTTTCATTTCGTAAGGATTAATTAAGTGGGGTTGTAAAACTAATCAGCCTGCAACATCATTCTATAATATTTCATTAACCTCAGAATGTTCGCTTTAAAATGCACTTCCGTCCAGCCGCATGCAAAAACTACACTCTGTAAAAAACGACTACTTAAGTAGTATATATTTTTCCCATGGATTTCGATGCCCCTTAATGTCCAATTATATTTCATGGAAAACACGCATAAGAATATTCATTCTTTTACTTGTTCGGTAGAAAATCACGTCTGCCACCAATTTTATACTCGAAAGAAGGGTATAATTCGGTTTTAAAAAAAGTTTATTATTGTGAGATTTTTAAAAACCGTGAAATGGCCGTTCGCAAAATGTCATGTATTTGCATTGACGAATGTGGCTTGTAAAGTTGACAATATTGCTCAAATCCACTGCTTAATTTTATCAACCCCACATGGTCTCCTCTTAATACCGTAGAGAAATGTGTGGTTTTCCGTACACGGAAAATATACGGCTTGTAGTTTGGAAACCTAAATGCCAGTGTAACGGTAGAGCGGGTTCAAAATTATTCGGGAAGTGGAAAAGTTTTTTAAAACCGAATCATACTCTTCTTTCGAGTATAAAACTGAAAGAATACGTGACTTCTACCGAATAAGTAAATGAATGAACATTTTTATGCATGTTCTCCATTAAATATAATTAAATTTTCAAGGCATCGAAAATCAATGAGAAAATTGCATGCTACATTAGTAGTCATTTTTTACAGAGTATGGTTTTTGCATGCAGTAGGAAATAAGTTCGTTCGAAAACCTACACCCTGAGGTAACTGGGTCATTATAGAATTATGCTGCATGATGATTAGTTTTACAACCCTACTTAAATAATATTTTCGAAACGAGGACGCATTTCGAAATTTCGGTTGACATTTCATGAGTTAGCCCACCTACTGTATGACGTGTTATGTAGTTCCACCATCGACAGTAAGCGATCCATGCTTCCCGCCCTCGTCACCGACGATGTCCACCGTGTGCGCCACGGCAATAAGCTGAGAGCAGGCAGTGACTTGCACAGCATCCACCGCACTCTCCCCTCCTGTCCTATCTGAGCTCGGTGTCAAAACATAGTCAAGAAGATCGGAGGCGGGGGACGGCACGGCCGGACCCGCACACAGGCGTGCCACCATACCCCCCCCCCGGTCCACAACAAACACTTTACCGGGATTTTAGCTAACAGCAACAATGGGGCGGGGTACGGTAGAGATCTCAATTGGCGCAAAGTGTGTTGGTAAGTGGGCCTACCACCGTATCCCGAATGCCGGCATTTGGTATGAGTTTGCATTTTCGATAACGCCTGCCAGAATCCGATCTAGGTCCCGTTTTAGGAATAATCCCGCCCGTATACACAAATCCACCCGAGCACTGCGCAATCCAGACCGCCTGGAGAGAATGTTTTACTAGTACTTGATATGCATTCGTAGCTGCTGGTTTAGCCAATTCCGTTGTAGTCGGCGGATGACAGCCTCGCGAGCAGACCACTATCGCGACCAGAGAGGCGCTCTTGTGGCAGATGTCACGTCCGCGTGAGTCGGCGCCAGTTGATCTCATTGGTAATATCCCTAGTAGATGATTCAAGACGGGTGGGTTTTAGCAAGCTTGGCAAAAGGCTGTCTACACCTGAGTCTACCACCATCCCTCCGATTCCTCTCCACTTCGAGGCAGACGGGACTCTGGACAGTAATCGACGTCAAGGCAGAGTCGTTAGTAGAGAAAGTAGCCAAGGCTGAAACGGCAAAGGGCAACCTGATGTTTTACGAAAGTGCCGCGGGATTTAAGGAAGCCTAAAATCCCCGCGAAAGACCTGTCTGACAGGACACGCGGGACAGCAATGCCCCAAAACTAACGGCAAACCTAACCGTAAACTCGAAAGTAAACCTAGTCCTTCCAACATTCCTGACATGCCACTTGCATGAAGAGGCTGACATTACTCGTTTTATTTTATTACCTACATGCTTTAGTTTACTTCTTCGCCTTATAAGTATACTGGTCTGACGGGAATTAATGGCGCACAAACTTCTACTGACCAGATAGTCTTCTAAATCGCATAGCTCACAATCTAATGCAGTTTTTTGGTATTTTAATGAGACAATAGGGTAATTTGGTAACTTGAAAACTCCACATGAATATCCCATCTAGGTAGAAGAAGATATCAAACACTATCAGAGCGTGAGCTTAATATGGGGCCCATTCTGTTCAGTGAGTGCTGGCCATGTTGAAGAACGCGGACGATTTTCTGACAAAACTTCGATTAACATTGATGGGGTAAGAGGACTTGCAAGGAAGGCGTCGAATAGCCTCCGTGAAGGACCAACATATCACATGTAACCACAAAATATGCCGAAGAGGTAAACAAGAGTTTTCAGAAAAGTCTGAGCTGAAGGGAGACAACAAACGAAAGAACGCCTAATATGATACTTTAAATCAAATGTGAAGCCAGCGTGTTCATCAAATGCTCTCTGAAACTGATTAATTTAATAGCGGACTTCCGAATAAATCCTCATTTAGACGTGTATATCTAAGATTTTCTACAACAAATGTGTAAACAGCTGCGGACGGTTATGTGTGCCGACTTTTGCAACTAAATCTAGAAAGACGCCAGCGGCGCGCAGTCCAAAGCAGTCCCGCACCACGTGGATCGATACTGACGTTTAAAAGAAATGAACGTGCCGCTGTACACGTGTTCAATGTCTCTCAACCCCAGCGCAAAGGGGGAGAAAGTACCGGTGCGCCGAAAAACGGCCACTAACGCCGGTCTTCCAGAACTCGCCAGCTTGCACCGTAGTCTCAAAACACCCGTCAGTCTGACTGGCGCCTCATGGGCACCCCGGAGTCCCAGTCTTCGATTACCTCCGCCTACTCCCTACCTACCACCGCACGCACCACCCCAACTCGACCGGCATGTGGCCCCACCGGAGCCCCTGAAATTCCCAATTCTCCCCTGCAAACCTGTTGTCCGCAGCCAGCGACCGAAACCTGCTCGGACGAAGTGCAGGTCTCGGGCGCAGCCCAAGATTGCGCCTCTGCGAGCTGACGTCCAGACGGAAACCGATCTGCTTCTGGGGCAGCCTGCTCTCATATGTCGTCTCTGTGGACTCAACTGTCCCTCCGGTGACATCCTCCATGCACACATATTGCTGCTCAAGCACTCCAGAGCCAAGGAAGGGCTGGAGACTGGGGAAGCCGGGGACACGAAACCTACTACGAGGGGAACGCGGCTTTTCTGTAGGAGATGTGGAGCCTCCTGGAACACCGCAGACAAGGAGGACGTCAAGTGTCATACCCACCCCTGTATTCTTCAGAAAGCGGCCTACTTAAAGAACTTTCTGGCACCCGAGTCAAAAATTAGTCAGGGTCTGCCCTTTGTTTGCCTATTTTGTTGTGCAGAGAGGGAGGATGTTGGCGCAGCCTCTAGACGGCGTCCACCGCCTGGTCGACGTGGCCCACGCAGGTCCACCAAGAAAAGACCCCTTCGACCGCATCACACAGCAGCACACTTTGCCTCAAAGTTGCACCTGGCAGTACACATCATCTACTTCCACGTGCCCACTCGAAGTCCCGGTCACTGCAGTGAATGTCCGGACTTCTCCTATGATGCCGAAAAGGACGAACCCCTGGAATTTGAGCTGTGGACACGGGAGGTGCCCAAATCACCGCTGCCACGCCGCCACCCAGCCGCTGTGGCGGCGGCGGCGGCCACGGTAGGTAGGAAACAACTGACCCTGTGTGAAGCAAAATCCTCCTCCGAGACGGAGGAAGAGGTTCACTCTGGTCCCCCCTCGCCCACCCCCTCCTCCTGCTCCATCCTCGAGCGCGAAGGTCTGCACGCTCTGGACAGGCACATCGAGGAGGATCACACTCTGCTGTATGAGTATCTGGCCTGGCAATTTACCAAACACGGTCTCTCTGATGTCGCCGTGCACACAAGTAGGAGTCGAACCAGTTGGATCTATGCATGCCCAATCTGTCAAATACAGCCCTTCACTTTAACCTCCAGCGTGGATGCCCTACGGAAGGAGAAGCTAGCCAGACCGGAATACGGTATGTCGGGCAACGCCATGCTGCAGACGCATATCGCTTGCTTTCATTCGGCAGGGACCAACTTCTTGGATTGGAAACTGCAAGTCTGTCAGGTGTGTGGGGAGTCCCTGGCCGACGGTGGAGGCGGCGGCGGCGGCGGTGGAGAACTGACCTCTCCCCTCCAGCGTCACCTGGTGCGTGCTGGCCATCTGACCCGACTGAAGGCTCTCTTCGGCCTGGCTGTGAGGCAGGGTCGTCTGTCGGACGCAGGCGGCTGGTTGCAGTCTGTGGACTGGCAGAAGACCTGCGTTCTCTGTTGGCGCAGGTTTGGGCGCGGTGCTGAGGATCACAGTCGGTTGGCGACGCTGCGTGCAGAGTGTCAACTGCAGGCGCATCTGATCAGTGCACACTGCGTGTTTGGCGAGGAGAGGGGGGAGGAGAAGCCGACAATGGCTTGTGGATGGTGTGGATGCATGCTACTGAAACAGGAGAACAGAACAAGTAGGTGGTTACAGACCCAATTACTTCAGCGAGTAATATAACCTTCCTAGCAGTCATCATCAGCCACGTAGGAATCTGACAGTAGGTCATAAGGACGACTTTGTTTATCGTGGTCCGGGTGCCAAGCATTCGTAAGTTAGTAGAGTACGTTGGGACGCTTGCATCTCAGAATAATGTAACTGTACGGTCCGTAACCAGTGAGTTCAGAGGTAAACCTACGCATACACGCATCGCCTTCAGCCCCTGACAAAGCATATGTGAACATACTATTGTTAACAAATAGGTTGGCAGACAGTTATAACCCAAATCAAAGCTAAATAGTCCCGAGGTTGAAAAATCGATTCGGCTACTCATTGAGTCAGACTTGTTAAACGTTGTCCGACTGGTGGTTCATTAACCGAACCGATAATCTACCTCCCCTGAACGACCGGATCGCGAGTTGTGGCTATGGAGACAGGTAGCATAACTTTCCTAGCAGTCATCATCGGCCACTCAAGAATCTGGCAGCGAGTCGGAAGGGCGACTCGTTATACGGGTGCTAAGCATCTGTAAGTTAGTAAAGTACAATTCGTGACTTATCGGATGAAATGTCACAGACTGTGAACTTAAATCGCTGTAGCGCACGATACTGCCACCCTGCATCCATGAAAGATATACTGCGTTAAATATACGACCGAGCTTCAAAACAAGGCATGGTTTGGTTTATAAAGTATTATTTATTGACTAAGAAATTACTTTTTGTAGGAAAAACCACCAAATCACAAAATCGACTGTATGACAGGCCTACTATTCAGGGTCTAATATAACTGTCAGCGGAAAAGGGAAATTTCACAAAACGACAAAAAAATAAAAACAGAAACAAATACAACGAGCTAATACTTTGTCGATTGTCTTTTAGCTTTCAAAGTTGCCGCATAGCAAGAGGGCATGGGCACTATCAATTTGTCTATGGTGATTTGGTCTATGTAATTAGTAAGCAAAAGTTCCAACTTTTCCTCCATAGGAAGATGTTTTCTTGCTTTTTCCCAATTCCTTTTGATTAGTGCAAAAAGATTTTCCGTCGGATTTAGGTCCGCGTTGTTGGCGGGGATAAAAATGCTTCGAAGGCCGCAGGCGGAGAGGCTGGCTGTGGTCTAAAATATTAGATTATAGTCGTAAGTTGAGTTGGAATCATACCTCCTTTGAGCGGTGGACAGGGGCATTATCCTGCAACACTACGGTGTCTATTCGACGTCGATGAATGCCGCTGTAACCGAAGGCATCCTTTAGGATGCTGATGAACACCCTGCTATTTATCGTCTCCGCCGTTGAACGTCAGATCGGTCGCTCTCCGAATTTGATGGCCATCCAAACCATCAGGTGTCAGCAGTTCTTGAGAGTTGGCGTCGATGCAGTGTGCTATCGTGGAAAGTTCTTCCCACATATGACCACCTGGGCCGACTCCGGAGGCTTGTCTAAAAATAAGACCTCATCACAAAAGTAAATGCTTTTCTAGAGGGAAAGTCTGTAATCAATATACTTTTTAGCAAACAAAAAACGTTCTCCTACAAGTTTTCTACCTAAAAATGGTTTTGTCACGGCGTTTTGCTGAGGGAGACCGAACTCTCACTCTTTTTCTAATTATGCGCATAGAAAACATTGACAGATTTTCACTGTAAATAGCCTTAAGGGGCATATAGGGGTACTTTTTCAGTGTCTAACGAATGAAATCGTCGTCTCGCTTGCTTGTGGACCGTTATGGCCTACCTTACTTAGTTCTAGAATCGCGTTTGATAACAGTGCCCCTGCGGTCCGTAGTCGGCGCGTTCAGAAGTGAACATACAATTATTAACAAATGGGTCGGCAGACAGTGATAACTCTATTCAAGGCTAAAAGTCCCGAGGTCTGGAAGCGGATTCGGCTACTCAATGAATCAGACTTGTTAAACGTTGTCCGACTGGCGGTCCATTAACCGAACCGATAATCTATCCCTCCTGAATGACTGAATTGCTGGCTGTGGCTATGGGGACACCTGGGGCGAGCGAACGAAGTGGGTTGCTAGACGAAAAAAAAACTAGATAAAAGACAAAATTCTCTAGAAAAAGGGAAAAAATCTCCGCGAACTCAAACTCCAAATCGTAGATAACTCCGTTCCCTCCATGCTGCCGAAGGAATAGGAGCTGGCATTATCTTTCCTTGCTTCTCGTCGCATACGGGAGCCAAACCTTTGCACACTGATTTGTCAAGTGGATTATGGATCGCATTCAGTCCATTGAGACGATGACAGTGAAAGACACCCGTATGGTAGTTTGGGTTCAACTTGGAACGCAGGCCAGAGTATCTGGAGAGGCTGGTTTGTCCTTCAGTTCGACTACAAATAAGAGGGCGTAAAACATTAACTCCAATTTCACTTCTCTTTCCAGCGATATTTAGTGACAGTGCCATATCAATGCGACTGGATAGTAGATTAGGCTCAATGGCTGTCAGGGAATCCTTGGCCGTCATAAATGAACATCTTCCCAAACGTGCCAGTCGGTGAGAAGCTACGCGGAAGCCACACAGAAGAAAAGCCGCCACAAATGAGTGATCAAGTTATCCCGTCAGACTCCGGGATTTCCGAAAGACACAGTATTTGGGTTATGGAGGACCAGAACGCTCTTGCTCTTTCTCTCTCTCTCGCATGCTCTTTTCCTGCTCCCATCCACCCACGCCAGAGATAAACAATGATTGACCCAAACCAACCATTTTTGACTCATATAAGTTCATTGATATTTTGGCAGATTTTGAATAATTCATATTGACCCAACTGTGAAAAACTTGGCGCCTCGGTGGGATTCGAACCCAGGCAGTAAGGGGAAGGCTTTAGCCAACGCTCTAACCACCTGAGCTACGAGGCCCCGCCGGACGACGCGAGTTTAATCACACTTGGGTCAAGTTACCCGCCCAACCTACTGCAACGTCTGGAATCAACCAAATCTGATACAGTAAATTGACGACCCAAGCAGGATTTCCTAAGTTCATTACGAGGTCCTAACTCCCTGTGGTTTGACAGTTAAGGAAACTGCACTCATGTACACGCGGGTCCCATCCAGTGAGGCTTGGTTGTGAGCAGTGCTCCTCAGTCGATGACTGATTGGTTACCCAGCCTTTGAAGCAGCCTTTGGCCCAGGCAAATGAAGGGCTGCGTGCCACCCTTCTGGGCCACAAGGAATGCAAGCATCTGCAATGCCAGGATCAGAAAACCATGGCCCTCTCTCAGTCTGGTGTTCGCTGGCAGTTCTCTGGCACCCCGTTTCCCTGTCGGTAGGTGCGCTTGCGCTCCGGCTGGGTATACAAGTCATAATCATGGCCGCCCAGTCATCATCCTCGTCCTTCTGACCCCGGTTGGGGGTGTTGTTATTACTGTTGCAGGTGACATAATCGAAATCGATGGTTGAACTGTCGGTTGGTGACAAATTCTGGTCAAGTGTATGTTGTGGACCCGGGGGGTGGGGAAGTTCGCCTACGTGCGAGCTCGACCCTGCCAACCACCTGCGCCCTCTCCCGCCTCCGGTCTTCTTGACTCAGTCTTGACAGCGGACCCAAGCGAGAAAAAGGACGGCAGAGTGCAGTGGATGCTACGCAAGTCCGCGTTCACCATCGCCGTGCCTGCTTCACCTTGTTGTGGAGCACACGTCGGGCGCAACAGTAGTGCGAGTACGGCTTTTGTCCGCCAATAACGGCTGCGCCGTCAGCCGCCGCATCGGATCCCACAATAGATGTGCTATCTCATGAAATATTGACCAGAATGCTGAAATATGTTTTCGATTCGAGAAGATTACATGGACAGAGTTGTAATATTATTTATCATAAAGTCTGATCTTTTCGATTCGATAAGATTACATAGGCAGAGTTAAAATATTATTTATCATACAGTATAATCCTAAGATGTTTAAGTCAAGACAGGATGCCGGCTTTTGAATGAGCTTCTTGTAGGCCGTCTACAAAGACTATACCCTGCAAATTATGACTACTTACATAGTATGAATTTTTCCACTGGTTTTCGATACCCTTACAAATTCAAATGCATTATCTAGAAAATATTTGTTGCACCCATTTGGTTGCGGATTGCGTCTGCTTCAAATTTTGTGCGTGAAGTGGACGTGTATTTTGATTTTAAAAGGTTTCTACTTTTAAGATTTTTTTAAGAACGTTAAGTATCCATTCACACAGCATCATGTTTACTAGTGTTATCCACAAAATATACAGCCTGGTCCACATCCATTCCGTTACTTTGTGTATCTTATCTCACGTCTTTTTAAAAGCGTACAGAGATGACTGATTTTCCTCACAAGAAAAACATACAGCATTTAGCTTGTAAACCCTGAATAGCAAGTCGGACATTTAAAATCAATGGGAAATATTCATACTGTTTAAGTGTTAATTGTTTATGGACTTTAATGTTTGCAGACGGCCAGGAAGAAGTCCGTTTAAAGGCCGGCAACCTGCTGCGACTGAAACATCTTGGGGCTATGCTTCAAGATAATTAATATCACAACAGTACCTGAGTAATCTTTTTCTAATCGGAAACACATTTTAGAATTTCGGTTGCAATTTCATGAGATAGCACACCTACCGTATTTTCAGTGGACCCGACTCGTACAATCTGACGCGTTTGAACGAAATCTCAGCAGACTTACAGGGCCCACCAGCACACGGAATACAATCGATACACTTAACTGCCCGTTCAGATTTAATTGGATTTCGATACGCACGATTTGGCTGCCAACTGTAGTGTCCACGACGCCCGAAGCTGAGCCCCAAGTGGCGGTGGCCATAAATCGATAATCAGGCCTGTCAGCCCCCCCCCCAGTTGCCATTCCGATCTACACCACTAACCAGCCTGAAGGATGGAGACCCACCTCGTGATTTCTCAATACCAAAAGGGTTACCACGAACACTCACAAGCATATGAAGTGCTTGTGACATGTAAGGGCCTACTTTTGCTTTCCTCATGCTATCTTACAGTGAGTGACCGATCACATAAAATGTTGACTGAAATTCTGAAATGAGTTTTCGAGTAGGAAGGATTGCTTAAGAGCGGTTGTAAAACTGATTTTCTCGCGGCATAATTCTACAATATTTCGGACTCGGCAGAACGTCAGATTTTGAATGCACTGCTTTTAAATCTCCCGTAGGAACCATATTTGGTAAGAAATGGCTACTTAAGTAGCATGCACTTTTCACATTCATTTCCGATGGTCTTGCAAATTCAAATATATTTTAGAAAAATTACGAGCAAAAATATGCTTTCTTTTAGTCGTTTGATAGAGCATCACGTTTTCTTTATAGTTTACATTCCAGGAAGAATTATAACTAGGTTTTAAAAAGTTTCTAATTACGAGATTTTTTAAGACCGCGCAACGTCCGTTCACATAGCATCGTACTTGTCTGTTTACTACTGCTCCTCATGAAATGTACAACATGGTCCACATCCATTGCAAAATTTTATGGATCCTATATATTGTCTTTTTAAAGGCATAGAATAATATGTGATTTTCTTCACGGGGAACACATACACCTCGTAGACTGAAATCATTAGGCGCTAGTGCAACGGCTGATCAGGCTCCAAATTATTCAGGAATTAGAAAACTTTTTTTAAAACCTTATTATACTCCTTTTTCGGGTACACAATATAAAGATGATTTGATTTTCTATCAAACGATTGAAAGAAAGCGTATTTTGTTCGGGATTTCTATAAAATATATTTGAATTCTCAAGACCATCAAAAATCATTGTAACAACGCATGCTGCTTAAGTAGTCATTTTTACCAAGTACAGTTTTTCAAAAGGATTAAAATGTAGAGCATTCAAAAGCTCACATTCTGTCGAGTCCAAAATATATTAGGCATGTGTCCCATGATAATGAATGTTTTAACCCCACCTAAGTAAACCTTCCTAATCAAAAACACATTTCAGAACTTCAGCCAACATTTCATGAGATCGGTCACTCACTGCATGAAATGTTAACCGAAATTCCGAAATGCGTTTTTGATTCGAAAAGACTGCTTAAATGGGATTGTCGTGTTAAGTGTCGTTTTGCATAATGTTAAGACATTCTATTCACGTTAGTATTTTGGCTTCTTACCGACTGCCTGTCAAAATTACATTCCTCAAAAATGGCTACTTAGGTATTATGCCTTGTTTCCGTTCATTTTCGACGCCTTTGTAAATTAAAGTATATTTTACCGAAAACGTGCAGAAAAATTCTTCCTCATACTTATTTGGTAGTGTATTATGTCTCCTTCGATTTGTGTTGCTTAAAGAAATAGTAGCTTTCAATTTTAGAAGAGTTTTTAATCATGACATTTTTCAAGACCGTTAAACGTTAAATCCTACAGCGTCGCATCAACATATTTATTAATGCCGTTTATAAAGTGGACAACGCGATCCCCATAAACTGCAAAAATTTATGAGCCCTATGTATTTTCTCCATGAAAGCATAAATAAATGAGTGATTTTCCCTACAGGAAAGGATACAGCTTGTAGTTTGTAGACCCAGAATGCAAGTGTGGCTCAAGGTCAGGTTCAGCATTATTGAGAAAGTTTCTCAAAACAGGGAGATATTCCTTCTTCGTGTATAAGATTTAAAGAAGACGTAAGTTGCTACTAAATGAATAAATAGAGCATTTGCGTGCACGTCTTCCAGAAAATATATTTAAATCTCTAAGGGTATCACAAATTAATGAGAAGAATAAAAGCCTCGTAAGTAGTCATTTCTATGGAATGTAATTGATGGAGGCTGTTGATAAAGGATTCGTTTCAAAGCTAGCAGCTTGACGTCACTGGAATATCTTGCTGCTGCACCCCATGAAAATTAATATTACACGCCCACCTACGTGATCTTTTCGAATTGGAAAGGTATTTCAGGATTTCGGTCAAAATTTCATGAGATAGCCTTTCTACTAAATGTAGTTTCCGTCTGCCATTGGTATTTCTTGGAGTAATTCCGATGCGGAGGAGGCAGATTGTGCGTCAGAAGCTGAAAGATAACTGTTTTCAGTATCTGTCGCAGCTGCTCACAGCAAGGGTATGATATGTAACTCCCCCTTGCGGAGACCGTAGTTAGCTACTAATCTAACTCCAATCACGGTGATGCCTCCTAACCTGTAGGCATTTAAGGACCATTCGAACGTAACCGTAACCATAAGACAAGCCCCAAAACCCCAACCCTAGCCTACATGCCAAATTCAAACCATAGCCCAGGCCTGAAAACCCTATTCTCACGCACAACCCAACCAACTCCAACCTTAACCGTTGTCCAAACTCTGACCATGGGTCCAAAAAGGACAGCTTTAATACTGGAGGTCAAAATCTGCTCTTCTACATAACTCCTTTCGTCACCTACTGCCAAGTAAACCGTTATGATGCATGCCAGCCACCCATGGGGGTTACATACACTACCCTTACCCCCCCCCCCAACGGCTAATTTTGCTATGGACTGACTCTTGCTAGTAGTCACTGCAAGCGACATCCGCCTAGCACCCCCGCCCCCCCCCCCGCTTGATTAGGGTATGCTACGCCCAGCCAGCCAATCAGATCACTAATCGCACACAAAACCGCAGATCCGGGCTGCTTGTACAGGACTAGGCAGAGGCTAGTACGATCCTATCAGGGATAGACAGAGATCTCTGTAACAGACAGAAAGCCACGGAAGGGTAAGATAATTATGCCTGCCAGTTAAACTTTAAAACGCGGGGAGAGGCCAGGTAACCAGTTTTGAACACAGAAGAAGCAATTTATGCGATAGTCCATGCACAAATAGACTATATCACCGTCAAAAAGCCCCCTGTATGCATCAAAACATGAATTGCACTGCAACCTCGTTTTTTTCCCTTTTCCGCCGATATTTCAGCTTAACTTAAGTAATTTTTTCGAACTGAAAACGCATTTCGGAATTTCAGTGCATACTTCATTGGATAGGACATCCACCATGGGCACAGAACAGGACGATGTTTTTCCCCAGACCTTCTTGTGCATTTACAGGAGAACGGTTCAATTAAGTAGTCGATCCACGAAAGAAGTTGTATTCAGGAGTGCTGTGAAAAACCTTGTCTGCGTTGACTGCGCAGGAAAAAAACACTGGATTCAGAATTGGCCTGCCTCAAAATAAAACCCTGACTAAATGCAGTTACCAAGTCCGTTTCTTCCAAAAGTACAGCTGTGCGCCGGAGTGAAAACTGACGGAATATTCAGTTTCGAAAAAGTCTGCCAGCTTACGCTTTCCCTTCAAAAGAAAGGGTATAGTAGGCAGTGCTGGGTATTTTGGGTGAAGGCCAAAATATGCTTCCTGCATAACCACTTTCGCAACCTACGGTTATGATGCATGCCTCACCACCCAGGGGGTTACTACCCTACCCTTACCGAACTTCTTTCTAAACCGCCCTAGTTAATGAGGGTGCGAAGATGGAGTAGAGCAGCCAACGGCTCATCAGACGTCGAGAAAGCAAGGCCGATCTCCTGGCTGGTTTCCAGTGGGCCCATATATATATATAATTGGGGGGCACTCACCGTTCGTTCTTACGAAACTCAGTCGTTCCGTTGTGCCTTACCGGCTTTCTCTCGAGTCCAACCCTCTCGAGCCCCCCTCTACCATTGTATTTTATTTGTCGAAACCGACAGGACAACGAGACTGTGGCTCAGTGGTTAGAGGCGTTGGACTTTTAACTAAAAGGTCGCGAATTAGAGCCCCTTGTGTTCCAGACCTCGGGGTTGGGTATGGCTGGCTGACGACGGCTAATAAGTCAGAAGCGGCCAGCCCCTTTCGCCACCAACTGCATGCATGTCCCACCACCCAGGGGGGTTACATAACCTACCCTTACCGAACTTCTTTCTAAACCGCCTTAGTTCATGAGGGTGAGAAGATGGAGGAGAGCAGCCAACGGCTCATCAGACGTCGAGAAAGCAAGGCCGATCTCCTGGCCGGTTTTCAGTGGGCCCTTAGGCATGAGGAGGAACACGCCGATGCCCTTTTCCGTTGGTGGTGCTCTCCAGCCTCGAGGGCGAAAATGGCGCTTTGAGAGAGGAATTTCTCACCAGCCTTCGTTTTATGCGCTAAGTTTAGCTATTGTCCTTGAAACATTTAAAAAAGAAAAGACCCGGCTAATAATCGTCTTACTTTTTTCCTCTGTCTACCGGTGCCACAGTCATCCTACGAGTCGGACCTGATTCTTAGCTAAGGAAGTATTTCTTGTTGTATTTTCGCTGGCATGGTTCGTTCCCGAAACCAAGGCCAACTATCGTCTTCGTTACTGTTGCTACCGTTGTCATTGGTATTACCTCTACCACAGTAGATGAGCTAGCTCATGAAATGTCAGCCAAAATTTCGAAATTCGTTCCCGTTTCGAATTTCGCCATAGCTACCAACAACCGACGGCCGTCTGCTTCGTTGACTTTGCCGCCGCGTTCGATTCCGTTCACCGTCAGTCCCTGTGGCGGATAATGGCGCTAGATGGTGTACCGGCAAAAATCATCGCCATGATCAAGGCCTACTATCGCTCCGCTACTGCGAGAGTCCTAGTCCGTAACAAACTTTCCCAACCGTTCGGTATTCGGTCGGGCGTCCGACATGGTTGTATCCTGTCACCCATACTGTTCAACTACGCTATTGACTGGATCCTCGGGAGGGCCCTACGCGACAGTGACGGCGTTGAATTTGCACCCGGACATCGACTGACTGATCTCGACTATGCCGATGATATCGTCTTACTTGCTTCAAGTTTTGGTGATCTGCAGTCTGTGGTGTCACGGGTGAACGAGGTCGCTACATCAGTCGTTTTGTCCATAAAATGCTGGGAAGACCAAAGTATTCTCAAGCTGCATCCCTGACCAGGAGAAGGCACCCCTGGGGATTGATGGCTGTCAACTTGAAGAAGTGGACAGTTTTAAATACCTCGGGGCGAGGCTGCTGCCTAATGGACAGAGTAAGGACGACATTGTCTCCCGAATCGATGCTGCCCGCTGGGTTTTTTCAAGCCTTCGGAAATGCCTGTGGAACCGACGTGACCTCTCCATCGCCACTAAGATTCGCGTGTACCGTGCATCTGTCCGGTCTGTCCTTCTCTACGGTTGTGAATGCTGGGCTTTGCTCGTGGAGGATGAGCGAAAACTGGAGGTATTTGACCACCACTGCTTGAGGATCATCCTTCGAGTGAAGTTAACCGACTTCGTCTCAAATGAGACAGTCGGCGCTCACTGCAACAACATCACAAGGATAACTCAGGCCATCCAAGAAAGACGACTGAGGTGGTTCGGGCATGTTCTTCGTCGTCCACCCCAGGAGCTCAGTGTTACTGCCCTCGATCCGGCACCGTTGTCCCATTGGAGGCGTCGAAGAGGGGGTCAGTTCAAAACCTGGCTCGACACTGTCCGTCAAGACATGGAGGTGGTTCTTGGACCTTCGGTATTCGGTCTCCGTCGTTGGCGAAGGGAATGGGTTGAGCTGTCTAGATCTGCTGCCGCGGATCGTCACGCGTGGAGAGGTACAGTTCGGGACATCATCGAGGCCGGCTAGATCAGGCATGATCGCAGCCGTATCAAGTACAAGTAGTATAAGTACAATTAATCAGCCTGCAGCATAATTCTATAATGACCCAGTTACTTCAGGGTGCCGGCTTTCAAATGGACTTATTTCCGACTGCATGCAAGAACTATGCTTTGCAAAAAATGACTACTTAGGTAACATTCAATTTTCTCATTAGTTTTCGATGCCCTTGAAAATTCAACTACATTTCATGGAAAACATGCAGAAAAATATTCATTCCTTTACTTGTTCGGTAGAAAATCACGTCTTCTTCCAATTTTATACTCGAAAAAGGGTATAATTTGGTTTCAAAAACCTTTTTCAAATCCCGAATAATTTGGAACCCGGCCTACCATTACGTTTCCATTCAGGGTTTCCAAACTACAAACCACATATATTCCGCGTACGGGGAACCATACAGTTCTCTACGGTACTTAGAGGAAACGATATGGGATTCAGGAACGTTAGCAATGGATTTGAGCCATATTGTAAGCTTTACAAGACATGACATTATATGAATGGTCATTTTACTGCATTAAAATCTCACAATTAGAGACTTTTTTAAAACAGAATTATACCCTTCCTTTGAGTATAAAATTGGAAAAAGACGCCCTTTTTACCGAATGAGCAAAAGAATGAATATTTTTATGCAAGTTTTCCATACAATATTGTTGAATTTGTGAGGGCATCGAAAATCAGTGAGAAAATTGCCTGTTACCTAAGTCCATATTGAATTATTCAAAATCTGCCAAAAGATCTATGAATGTGTTACCTAAGTACTCATTTTTTGCAGAGTATTGTTTTTGCATGCGGTCGGAAATAAGTTCATTCGAAAGCCGGCACCCTGAGGTAACTGGATCATTATAGAATTATGCTACAGGCTGATTAGTTTTACAACCTTACTTAATTAATCTTTTCGAAACGGGAACGAATTTCGAAATTTTGACTGACATTTCATGAGTTGGCCCACCTGCTGTACCAGTCTCGGCAACGGTGGTTGTAGGATCTCAACTAACTTGAGGTTGCCTGTGGACAGTGTCGCACGTTGAATGGTAGTAGAGGGTATTTTACGGTGGGCCAACACGCAGTAAGTTGGGTAGGCTGAATGCAAAAAGACAGAAAATAAATAGATTTCTGCCGAAAGTCTTACCATATGCTGTCAGATGGCAGAGAAAGTGAGCGAGATAGTTTAAGAAAGTAGATAAAAAGCAATTTTCAAAAAATAACGGATTCTAAGTAAACCGCCGCTGGCACGTTTACATTCAGTCAGGGAAATTTTTCAACGAATAGGAACGGTGATGTTCACAGTCACATAGAATTTTAGTGTACATGTTGGAGTTGCCAGCTTCGTGGGGTCCTACAACCTACCGCCACCCCAGTCTTATTACTGCCGAAACCGGTGTCAAGGTCGGATGGTCGACAACTTGACGGCTCCCGAATCGGCAGACAGGGAAGACAGTTGGATGTACAGGGTCAGTTGCAGCTTGACCCGCTGTTGCAACCGGCGTCCTCACCAGCCTGATTGGACGCACCCGAACTTTGTCCGGCTTCAGCCAATCGGGAAAGAGGGACATATTGATCGGTTTCACGGCGTCGCAAGCTGGATCTTGAGTCACGCATCCCAGGCGGACCGAAGGTGACATGAGTGAGCAGCGGCGCTGATGACCTTGAGAGCGGACAGCTGCAACAACTGCCTCAAAGTCCAAAGGTGGCGTGCAGCGACATGGACGGAAGTGTTTGTCTAAAAACATGGATAACCGAAAGGTCAGTAATGTGAACAGGGCGTCCCCTGTGCGTGATTCAGACAGGAGAAATGGGAGGGGAGGGCGGAGTGTGGGTTGCGGTGAGGTGACATTTGTAAGTAGGTACAGGCAGCATCACAAACACTTGCAGTTAGCATTCTAACCAGGCCAACGTCATTCGAAGTGCATGTGCCCAAAATTTGTCCGTCTGCGGCCAATCAATGAATAAAGAAATATCGATCGACGCCATGGCGTCGCACGCCGGATGTTGAATCACGCGTGTTAGGCGAACCAGACGCGGCATGGGTGAGTGGCTGGGCTGACGACCTTGAGATCGGACAGCAACACCGGAGTATGTACCGTTACTTTGTCCTGTCATTGGAAAGTGATGGGCGTGAGGCTGGGACGAGGTAGGCGCTTCGCAAGTGCCATTTACTGTGAACAACTTCGTGCGCAACTCGGGACTGCGTACGGCTCGTGGGTCAGCAGGGGATCGCGTCACTTTACAGTCGGAATACCAGGTACAGTTGGCCATAATAATCCAATTAGCGTCATGGATTAGCTCCAACCGTTTTGGCGCGCATTTTTCACCTCACACGATTCCAACTAGTTCTAGTATAGTTATTCAGACCGCATGTTGTTCGGAAGTCAAGTGTCTCTCCTATGTTCGTGAGATTACATTTGCTTCCTGCAATTGATGAAATAATTGCCATTATTTATTGCGTACTTTAGAATTTGGCCCCATTAACGTCGGATTAAAATGAATACCAAATTGAAATGAGGCCAGGGCAACATGTTTAGCAGGTAAGCTCTACTATTGAAGACGAAGGTAGTATGCGTCGATCATTCAACCTTGGACACCAGAAGTTCATAGAGCTGGCTTAGAAGACGGCTCAGTGAGCATGCTTTAAGTAAATTTTCGTCAGACCTGTAGGTTAATATAGCAAGTTGGAATCTGTGTGGGTAGTTCTACATGGATGTACGGGCCCGACAACAATAGGTCGGAAGCATACCTGTTGAACAGTTGGCTGAATCGATTAATGATACATGTTGAAAACTAGAATTGGTTCGGTTCATTCAGAGGCAGCCAAAGAACTTGTTGACTTCAAGGGATCCAAGAAGCGAAGAAGTGGTGCATGTTCGACTGGTCTCTCAGACATGGAACCGACGAAGTGTAGGACCGTGTAAGTAGTTAATTCGAAAAAATGTAACCGGATGGTAAATATACTCCAAACGAGTACTGTTTGTTCCCTTTATAACGGAGAACATTTACCGAAAGGTGTTTTGAAGTAATATCATGGAAATTTTTCGGCCAGCACAGATTAACCTTGGTCGCGTCAACTGACCACTACAATCTGATCTCTTTAAGGCAAAGAGTAATCAACCAAAAATCCATCTTTTTTAGTGCCGAAATCGTATGTGCATGCACAGAAACTGTGAGAAAGCCAAACGCGCTCTAGATGGCAAAATATGAATAGGCAAAAATTTCAGCTTCTTATACATTCCTAAATGAATGCACTAAATTTGAGTGAATGTTTCAGGATGAGGTATTATCGGTCCTGTCTGAATATTTGAGCAGGAATTCGTCAGCTTCGGCGGGATAACCTCGTAGTATTTATAAACTGCCAACAGACGGCCAGTAGCATACATATTTTGCACAATTTACCATACTGCCTACACAGGTGCAGTGCGTGATCGATTTCATTAAATGTTTGCTAAAATTCTGGAATGCGTTTCCGATTAGAAGGATTACTTAAGTGGGGTTGTTATACTGATTACCATGCAGCCTAACCCTATAAAATTTCCGACTCGCCAAAATGTCGGCTTTTGAATGCACTTCTTTTAGACCTGTTGCAGAAACTACACTTTCTCGAGGAAAGTGTGAATTTAGGTTTTTAAAAAGTTTCCCAATTCCCGAATAATTTTCAGTATGATCTGCCATCGCATCAGCGTTTAGCAATTTCAGTCTACAAGATACACGCTTTCCGCGACAGGAAAATCATATATTCCTCTATGTCTTCAAGAAGATACCACATAGAGTCCATGAAATTTTGCGATTTATCCGGACTGTGTTGTACATTTCATGAGGAGCATTAGTAAACGGTCACTGCGGTCGTGCATGCATGGACATCGCACGGTCTTAAAAATCTCATAATTAGAAACTTTTTCAAAGCCTAAATATACACTTCTTCGGGCGAAAAATATAAATACAATGTAATTTCCTTCCAAATGAGCAAAAGAAAGCATATTTTGCGCATATTTTCTATAAAATATACTTGAATTTATAAGACCACCGAAAATCAATGTGAAAATGCATGCTACTTAAGTAGTCGTTTTTGCCGTGTGTGGTTTCTGCAGGATGTTAAAAAGAAGTGCATTCAAAAGCCGACATCCCGGTAGACCTAAAATGTTATAGGGTTAGACTGCATGCAAATTAGTATAACAACTCCACTTAAGTAATCCTTCCTAATCTGAAACGCATTCCGGAATTTTAGCCAACATATCATGAGATCGGTCACGCACTGTATTAACTGCGCTGCATCACACGGCTGCGATGGGTTCGTCCAATCAGCGGGTTCCTTAGCGTTCCTCTGAGTTATCTGGTAGGTAGTTCAGTTGCCAACTTGCGACTTTTTAATCTCCTCAAAAACCTGATGCGCTAACTTGGAATAGGCCCTTCGGAATATACTTTTATAGGCTCAGTCCGAACATTTCTATGAGTAATTTGGCTGAAATCCACTGGCTACAGCGGCATAACCGCGTAATTTCCATAACCTGCCTACCGGCAGTCAGTAGTATGTGCCAGAGTGAACACGAGGAATGCTGGGGACCAACCACCTAAAATAAGGTGATAATGCCTTTGCAGCAGTCTCACCATATTGAATTTGACTGAGTCTTAGCTGAACTAGATTCAATTAACCATGTCATCAAATTAACTAGAGAGTAGTGTTGACAGATATGTAGGAAGATTGACACAGTCTTGTTTCGGCATTATGTAGTTTTCCTCCAACCAACCATAGCCCGAACCCCACCTGTAATCAAAGGGACGAATAGCCCCTTGCGCACTCAACAGTGGTGGTCCATAGATCGGGCGATATTGAACATTTGGTCGACCTTGACTAACAGAAAGTTTACTAAAGCTGTTACTCTGCGGCAATTTTCAATAAATTTGGATTGCTTTCGTGTATATTCCTGTCCAAACGCACCAAAAATGCCACCAGACAGGATCTGGTCTGCCCTAGACTGCAA